GATGATCTATTGAGGTCCCTTCTGACCCTAACATCTATGAATCTATGAATCTATAAGAGGAGGGACAAAAAGTGAGAATTCGGACCACCTAACCTCTGGGTATGACCACAGTCGGGACTCTACTGACCCAGACGGCAAGACAGCTGACAAGGGACAGGAGGAGACAGGGCATTAGCCTGGCTGTACACACGGGTGTTTGCTGCACCCTCAGCCAGGAAATTCCTATGCAGCCCCTTCTGCAGAGGCATACTTCTGCACAGCTCCCACTGCAGTGTTGAATATTAAGCACACAACCAAAGCCTGCTTTGATTCACTGTGGGCCCAAACATGGTTAAACCAAATCCACACTCATGCAAATCTCAGTGATGATTGAGGAAGGTTTGAGGTCCAGAGCTTTAATTATGAAAATAACCAATGTATAAAGAAGTAAATGGAGTGCTGATGCCACCTTGATCTAGTCTGGCTGTGTCTCAGCCTCTGTTATTGGTTCCCTGCCAGGGTGAGGAGCAGCAAAAAATATGATGCCCTGCAAGATGCATGGCAGGTTTTCCACTTCTTGCTGAAATGTCATGGCCTACACAGGAATGCTAACCTGAGAGAAGGCACAGCCTTCTGGACACCTCGCTTTCTGAACCTACTAAGCAAAGGCAGCTATGTCGACATTTCCCTCCTTGCTCCTGAAATCTTGCATCTTTATTTTCAGACTTGTCCTCATACATTAGCATTGCCATTTTACAGACCATGAAAGGAAGGCCCATTAAGTTCTGCCAGTGACACAGGGAAGCAAATCACCAAAGTTGTAGGTACGTTGCCCTGAGGCTTTCACAGCTTTTTACACCTGTGCCCTGCCAAAGCAGAATGACAAGACCTTGAGGTATGGTTGTGTACACCCATTAAATCAAAGGTTCACCCAAGACTAACAGCTCATGGGGCTAGTGTGGTGAAGGCACTCTAGTTTCTATAGCTAAAGGCACATAATGGAGTGATGTAGCCAGCATCACATCTGGCTGGCAGAGTCACAGATTCATAGACATTAGGGCTGGAAGGGACCGCATAAGATCATTGGGTCCAGCCCACTGCCCCTGGGGCAGGAAGTCAGCTAGTGTCAAAGGATCCCAGCAAGATAAGCATCCCAATTTTTCTTAAGTGTCCAGAGCAGGTGCTTGCATCACCTCTGGGGGGAGTCTATTCCAGCCTAAAACGGTCTTGCAGGAGTTTGTGACTGTTGAACCTTGTCAGCCCTTGGGGCACTCTGGGGAACAGGTGTTCCCCTAGGTCCTCATGCACACCCCTTATAGGCTGCCACTAGGTCACCCCTGAGCCTGCGCTTTTCCAGCCTGAAGAGTCCTGTGGCTCTCAGCCTCTCTTCATAAGGCCTGTTCTCCTGCCCTCTGATCATGCATGTGGCTTTCCCTTGGACTCTTTCAAGCTTCTCCACATCTTTCCTAAATTGTGGAGCCCAGAAATGGATGCAGTACTCCAGTTGTGGCCTCACCAAGGCTGAGTACAGTGGGAGGATGACATCCTGGGTCCACTCGAGATGCACTGGTGGATGCAAGCCAGAGTTTTGTTTGCTTTGCCAGCTGTGGTAGTGCATTGGTGGCTCATGTTCATCTTGCGACCAGTCACGACCCCCAAGTCTCTTTCGGCCAAGTGCTAGCATGTGTAGCACTGCCGAGCCTATAAGCATGATGCGGGGGTTTCTGAGATGGAGCACCTTGCATTTCTCCGTATTCAATGCCATCAGATTTTCATTCACCCACCTTGCAAGCCTATTGAGGTCGGCCTGGATCACCAGCCTATCTTCAAGCGTAAACACTCTTCCCCAAAGTTTGGTGTTGTCAGTGAACTTGGCCAGTCCACTTCTGACACTAGCATCCAGATCATTTATAAAGACATTAAAGAGTGCAGGTCTGAGAATGGAGCCTTAGGGGACACCATTAGTCACCAAGTGCCATGTTGATCCGGTTCCATCGACTACCACCCTCTGGGTCCGATTTCAGAGCCAGTTCCCCAGCCATCGAACTGTAGAGTAGTCAAGAGTGCAGTTGCTTAATTTTTCCATGAGGACATCATGGGACACCAGGTCAAAGGCTTTTTTAAAGTCCAAATATATGATATCAACCTCTTCCCTTTTTTCCAGGTGATACATCACCTGGCCATAGAAGGAAATGAGATTGGTCAAGCAAGACCTACCCACGACAAACCCGTGCTGGCTGTTCTTCAGGATGTTGCCTTCTGTTAGCCTGTCAAGAATGGTTTCTTTGATTTTTTTTTTTCCAAAATCTTCCCAGGAATTGAGGTCAAACCGATTGGCCTGTAGTTTCATGGGTCTTCTTTCGTCCCTATGTTGAAGATGGGCACCACATTGGCTCTCTTATAATCTTCAGGTACTTCACCTGAAGTTCTTGAATATCCTTCCCAGTGGCTGTGCTATGATGTCTGCCAGTTACTTTAGCACTCTTGGGTGCAATTTATCCGGACCAGCTGATGTATGGGGGTCCAGCCTCTTAAGATGCTCCCTCACACAATCCACACCAACAGTGGGCAGATATTCAACATCCCCCGGTCATCCCATATCTTGTCCCGAAGGGTGGTCCCTTTGGGCTGGTAAAATACTGATGCAAAGTCATACAATCATAGAAAGCTAGGGTTACCAGGGACCTCAGGATGTCATCTAGTCCAACCCCCTCCCCCCCTGCTCAAAGCAGGACCATCCCCAACTAAATCATCCCAACAAAAGCTTTGTCTAGCTGGCGTTTGAAAACGTACAAGGATGGAGCTTCTACCACCGCCCTGGGTAACCTGTTCCAGTGTTTTACTACCCCCCTAGTGAGAAAAATCTTCCTAATATCTAACCCAAACTTCCCTTGCTGCAACTTGAGACTGATGCTCCTTGCTTTGTCATCTGCCCCCACTGAGAACAGTCCAGCTCCATCCTCTTTCAAATGCCCCTTCAGGTAGCTGAAGGCTGCTATTAAGTCCCCTCTCAGTCTCCTCTTCTCTAGACTAAATAAGCCCAGTTCCCTTGATCTTTCCTCATAAGTCATTTCCCCAGCCACCTCACCAATTTTCTTGTCCTCCACTGGACTCTCTCCAATTTGTCCACCTCCTTTCTGTAGTGGGGGCCCAAAACTGGATACAGGACTCCAGATGTGGCCTCCCCAGTGCTGAATAGAGGGGAAGAATCACTTCCCTTGACCTGCTGGCAACACACCTACCATTGCAGCCCAGGATGCCGTTAGTCTTCTTGTCCCAAGCCTGAATGACCAAGTGCCCATTTACAGCTGGATGAACTGGGGCTGCCTTTGGCAGAAGCCCAGAAAAGAGCCAACCTCACCCTTCAGGGCTATAGTGAGACATCGTACCTCTGCCACCATGTCCACGTATGCCTGTGTGAAGCCCATGCAAAATGCTGGCATTGGACTGCCTTGGTCACATGCAACACTTGCTTGCACAGGTGCAAACACACTGCACACTTCACCTAGTGCAGGTTTCTAGCAAAGGAAACCCAAGAAGTCCTGGTGCCCTAACCCCAGTGCTAGCTCCCCATTCATGTTCCCTTTCCCTTTGGCTCTCTGAAGTGCCAAACATGCTGAAACCCCAATTTCTTTGTGTTTTGTAATGTCACCTCTGTAACCAACTGCCTGTGTTTGTTTGCATCCTCTGGTTTCTAAAAGGCATCAGTACACTTCAGCTTCCAGTTCAGCTCGGTGCTGAGCATCATCAGCAGGGTGCTGGAAACACCCACAATGTCAGCTAGGACCAAATGCAGCTGCTCCCCAACTACAGTTTGGATGCTGCTGTTACCAGGACAACAGCTTCCTGTTCCTAGAGACTGGCCATAGCAGTGACGTCTCCCGGAGCCAGCTTCAAACCCATCATACAAAACATTTAAATGATGTATAAAACAGCAAGGTGCTTTTTATCTATCAAGGGAAAAAGGCAAGGAGCCATAAGCCATCTTTATGAGATATGTTACTTACTGGGATTCGGGGATGTGGGGTGAACAGTGCTGTCTGAAAAGGAAACCAAACGAATAGAGCAGAAAGTTAATAGAAGCACATTCATAAAATCATTATTTTCGTATAAGCGCTAACAATTTGTGCGTCTCCCTGCGCTTCAAATAAGAAGAGGAAGGAATTTGTATCTGAACAGTTAACTGTGGTACCGCGTCCCCTGGAAACAAGCAACCAAAGCAAAACAGAGCGGCATCCAAACCACCCCAGCACGTTCTTGGGGGGTTTGTACTATAGGCGCCTATACACGAACAGCAAAGCTGCTCTGATGTGCTGTAATTGCAGCGTGTCGAAGCAGACTCCATTAATCAAGTCCGCTGGAGCACGGTAATTGCTGCACTCCAACAGACTCCAGGTCTTGTATATTGGTGCCCCACACTTAAAAATGGTGGCAGGGATGCTTTAAGTAAAGCTCGTCGCACAAGCTTTAGATCCCTACAGCCATTTTTAAGCATGGGGATGCTGAAGCACAAGACGTGGTGGTGGTTTAATTAAAGCGGTTCTCAGAGCCACTCTAATTAAAGCATCCCCCTCCCCACACCGACTCCCAGAGCACACGTATAGCCAATAAACCAATATTGTCACCTAGGCACTTTTGTTACAATGAGCTGAACCAACATCCCAGATTCAAATGGTCTTGAAGTTCAGGATATTAGAAAGCTGGATCTGAATTTATGCTTGGGGTCATATTAAGTCTTAATGAACTTCCTGCTTTGGACCAAATTCAGGCTGGTAGTTGGTTCAACTTGCACTGAAACTGGAAGGCACTATAGTATGCTCACTCCATGTCTAAGCTCAGGCCATCTTCTTTCACCCTTGGGTCACGAAGGAGAGCTATACTTTTCCGCTCTGCGGGGTCCCCAGGAAACATGAGGGTTCAGAAGTGTCTTCATTCCCATGCGTGTGGTGCTGCATTCATGACCACTGCCCTCCTCTTTAGACTTTGCCAAAGTTATTCAAGCTGTTGTGGCTGGGTTACTGTCACAGGATGTGCACACATCTCCACTTGCAATGACTTGACGGTACCCATGGGTGAAAAACCAAAAAGAGGAGTAGCTTGGCCATAGAGAACATACTACATCAGCCTTCTGCAGATTGCACTTCTTGGTGAATGTTTGCTTTATACCCATGAAGGTCTAGATGAGTATCTGAGGGACCCGCTGACGTTATTCATCGTGCCCCATTGTGGCAGCTGCAATCGGCTCTTGCTAACCATCCCAGACATGAACATCAGAGAACTGCTGTGGCTCTGGAGTTTACTCTCCTGTCTAAGTGAGAGTTTCACTGTAACACAATTGAGGCAGTAAGTTTACTCCAGTTTTTTATGCTCCAAAGAATTTGGCTTAATGGCTGCTAATGACCTTGTATCACGTGATTTAAGAATGATTCCAAGAACAGCACAGGGTCATTTTAAAAGAAGCAATAGCTAGAGGTGCACCGATACATCGGTCCAATATCAGATTGGCACCGATATAAAGAAAATTGGCTGCATCAAAAATTGGCTTGATAGGGCTGATAATTTAGCACATAGGTGGCGAGGAGTACTGCCAGGAAGCTTGGAGAGCTGCATGAAACTGGTAAATCTGGTGTGGTGGAAGGGGAGGGGGGAGGGAAGGGGCATGGGGGGGCAGATCAAGGCCCCCACGGTGAGGGAGGAGTGGGGCTGGGGATGGGGCAAGTGCTGCCCTGCTGGGGCGCATGCAGGATGGAGCCAAGCTGATCCAGGGAGTGTGGGGGTGGCTCCCGCTGCTGCACGCCACTCGTCCAGGAGCTGCTGGTCCGGCAGCTCATCCAGCACTTGCCTGCTTACCCGGCGGCTCCCGCTGCTGCTCCTGCCGCTTGTCCAAGAGGGCATGGGGGAGCATGTGCCCCTGGATCTGAACTGGGTGGGCTCTTCCTGGTGGGGTGGGTAGCAGTGGTGCTGGGAAGGGACTACCACCACCTTGCACAGATCCAGGGGCACACGCCCTCCCCCCTCCATGCTCTCCCAGACAAACAACGGGAGCAGCGGTGGTAGCCACCGGGTGAGCACTGGACAAGTCGCCAGACCAGTGGCGCACAGCAGCAGGACCCACCCCCTAGCTCCCTGGGCCCCCGGGACGAGCTGCGACTCCATCCTTTGCCCACCCCGCCCCGGCTAGGCAACACTTGCCCCAACCCCCTGTCCCAGCCCCAGCCCCACTTCTCTCTTTTGGGAGCCCAGGGGGTCTCTGATCCCCAGCATATTATAGTGCTATAACTGCTGAAGTCTCTCAGAAAGGGCTCAGGGGGTTAGGAAACAGCCAGGTCAGATTATTTTCAAGCTGTAGCCTAAATCCATGTTGGTGAGACAGTGAAATCCATGCTCTGCTACTGCTACAGACTCAGCATTTATTACTGAGAGTTGGAACAGTGCAATGCCCCCTTCAAGGTCGGCTTCTTTTTCCTATGGGATCTATACTGACAATGAAATGGTTTCACAAGGAAGGCACCAGGATATCATGGACAACACCCCCTTGCTGGGCATAAAAGCATTTTGCTGTACCCATGTAAAACCAGTAGTGTAGTAACACATTTCCTCCCTTTCTTTGCACTTGTGGGTAGACACAAACATAGGTCCCAATACCTACTCTACATGCCAATGAAAAGGAGGAGTCACAGCTAAAGTGACAGCACTGTACACAAGAACGCAGGAAACCTGTGACCCCTAATTGAAGCTGTACCAGGGCTCACCTCTACAAGGCTATCAGAAAATAATAGACTACGGTTGCAATATTACTTACAGTTCCAGGCAGACCAGGGGGACCAGGAGAACCCACATCGCCCTACGGGAGCCAGAGAGAGGAATGGTATTAAAGAAACCAAAGGGAAGCAAGATTCATCAAGTCTGCTCCAATGTGATATAGTTACAGCATGTCGGAACAGCCTCCCACACATTTTACCGGCCCCCTAAGTGACCAAAATGGAGATTTCAGTAGCAATCAGAACTCCTTGTGGAGTTCTACCCTCCCATCTACATCCATAGGCTTGTGATGACAGGTGCCTAGATTATCCCCTGAAATGTTGGTGCTTCCTCACCCCGACAAAGGAATGCCTCCCAGGCTGGGCCCAGATGTGCAGGCAGGTGTGGATTGTGGTGCTGCAAACTTGTTTGCAATGCCAGAAACTGCATGAGTTGCATGTTAATCCGTGCATGGTGCTGCTAATTTGCAGTGCCAGGGCAAAATTTGCTACTGGGATTTCCCAGTAGCCAAAAAAACAAAAAAACCCTGGACAAATAGTGGTGCAAACCAACTTAGAGGCACACAAAGTGGTGAGTGCCAGGACAAACGCAGAGATGGGGGAGCAGGCAGCAGGCAGCTGCCTTCCTGGCTGGCTGGGATGCGGGGTACCCCAAGACGGGGGAGCAGGAGGCCCTGGGCCCAAGGGCTCCACTGAGGTGCCCCTGCACTGAGGCACGTGGAGCTCCCATGCCGAGGCATGCTGCACCCCAGCCAGCAGTGGAGCAGCTGGATGGGGTGCAGTGTACCTTGAGACAGGGAAGCAGCTAGCCCAAGACTGCTTGGTCCTCCGACTTGGAGCACCCTGCACTGCAGCCAGCTGGGGGATGGTTGGCTGGGGGCAGGGTGCCTTAGCACTGGGGCTGTGCAGTGCACGGAGATGGGGGAAGTGGTAGCCCTGGGCTGCCTGCTCCCCCATCTCCACGTGCCACTTCCTAGCTGGCCAAGGCAAAGAGTGCTTCAGTGCAGGGAAGCCCCAGTCAGCACCCCCTGCAGCACATGAAGCACTGGGACAATGTGTCCCACAAAGCACGCAGGCAGGGGCATGCACTGCGGCATAAAGTAGAGGAGCAAATTTATGCCGCTATTATTTGTGCTGCTGCACATGCATGCCCTTGTTCATGTGGACCCAGCCCCAGCAGAGTGTATGGCTTTACTTCTGTTAGCCGGATACAGAGTCCAGCTTCTTTTATAAGCTGCACCTGTGCTGAAGATTTGCAGGTCACCAGTTTTATGGTTGGTTTGTGTCTCCAAATCACTGCAGAGCAGTGTGCCATTGTGTTTTGCTCATTACCCCTAATGAACTTAACTGTACAACAGGAAAGCGAATGACACCAGGTTTACCACTGGGACATAGGAATTACCATCATGCATTGCAATGCTGGTTCAGCTGATCCAGTAACCTGTCTATCACTGGCTAATACCAGATACCTCAGAAGCTGCTCTGTGCTTTATCAGCAGAAAAAGCACCTGGCACCCCTAATGGATGATTAACCTGTCTGCAGAAAAAAAAAATGTTGTGAGACATCACCAGAGAATTTATTCAAGCTACTGGGGAGTCCGTGTAGTCATATCCTGTAACATGAGCACTTATATCTTTTACAACGGGTTGCCAACCTGCAGCTGCAGGCTGGACCCAGCCCTCGCAGCCTGTTGAGCTGAGGTTTTCAGCCACGTTCTGGCAGCAGAGGAGTGGGGAAAGGAGATGGGAGGGGGTTGCTCATGCCAACGCCAGACAATGGCAAGGGGGCTTTGGCTATGCCACTGCTGGCAGAAGTGGCAGCAGTGCAGGCAGCATCCAGGTCTTAGCACTGGCCCACCTTAGACCTGAGCTGAGTTATTCCAGCGTGCTGCTAGAAAATATTCTTGACTGTTGTTCTAGTACATTATAACCTCCAGCTGTAACTCTGGCCAGTCTCTTAATTTTATCATCCCCACAATGGCCTTTTTGGACTCCTATTAAGGTGCTGGCTCTCATATCTTGTGACAACGAATGCTACAGGCGGAGCGCTTTATGAAAAGATGCCCTTCTTTCCCTTCTAAGCACGTTGCCTTTCTGGTTCTTCAAATGTTCCCCTTTTCTTTCCACATCTAGTAGATAAACAGAAGTGCCCCACTTGCTCTCTCTAGCACGCTCACCACATTGGCTTTTTTTCATCTGGCTCACCTGCATGCCTCCAACACCTTTTTTCTCCTCAATGCCACAACTTAGTCGCCTTGCTCCTAGACCCCACCTGTGTCAGATGTACAATGCCCTACCATCTCACCCCTTCTTATTTTAAGGGATCTACAACACCTGGTACTCACCTTTTCACCTCTTTCACCTTGCTGTCCAGGGAGTCCCTCTCTTCCCCTTTCACCCTAAATGCAAAGAACAAGCAAGAAATGTGCAGACCGTGCTGTTACCCAAAGCAATCTTTGCTACTGCACCACTACCACAATGCTGTCATATTTCATACTGTTGTCGAATCTCACCCGTCTCTCCAGCTGCAATACATTCAAATAATGCCTTGAGATTAACTCATAGAAAGGCATGCAATCTTCCAAAGATGACAATCTGGGGCTTAGTTCATGGAAAGGCAAACTATAACCTTAAGCCAGCTTGCAGATAACAAGTATGAAGTATGCCTGCAACATCTACAGTAAATGCAGACTCTTAGTGTCTGCTAGAACATGAGGCAGTAGGATGAAGGATTATGAAGAGTAGCTTAGTGCTTTGCTCATGTGTATACTAGCTGCACATGCCCTGCCTCCGAGCAGGGGGATGCACTAGGTGACCTCTTACATTCCCTTCTGGCCCTACATTATAATTTCTGGTATCTGTGAAATCCAACAGCCAACAGAGTCAACTGCTAAATGCCCACTGATGTTATGCCCTACCTACCCGGATATATACAATAATTTATAAAGAAGACAGTAAGTGAGACGTAGAAGCAAAAGTCCCCTGGGTTGCCACTGGGGCTCATAGTCCTTAATCATTCTGGTGCTATCTGGAAATCTCAATCTGTTTCTTTTTCAGTGTGGTGGGATGCTTCTCTCCCCACCTGCCAACACCTTGCAATTAATAAGATCTTTGTGTTTGATATAAGTCCCCTCACATTTGCACGGACCTGCCAACACTGTGATAGATGGCTCATTAGCCATCTCCGTAGTTGCGGGGAGGGGGGTGGTGAGCAGCTGCCATGATTTCCAGAGGTTTTTCAGATGTTCACCACAAAGGGCGTATCAGGAGGGAAAAGAAAAACCGATCAAATGCCCCTAGTGCAACTGAGCAGCATCTCACAATCACTCACCTGGTTTCCCTTCTCTCCTCTTGGTCCGGGTAAGCCCTGGAGTCCAGGAAGTCCTGCTTCACCCTGATAGAGAGAGAAAGAGTAGTGTATGAAACCTGGGGGACAGGTTTCCCCTGCCCCAGCAAGACATCCATGAATCCACGTCAAACTTAATAAACAAGGAGGCAGAAAACCTGGCCAAATTCTGGGGGGTTTTGTTACTCTGATATAAATCTCTTGCTCCTGATTCCCCGTTTGGCCAGCCAGTGGCATACGTCCTCTAAACTGAGAAGACTCCAATCCAGTTCACATTGATCATCTTTTTGCACTGTTACAGCCAGAGCAGGAACGTGCCATTGGCAGAGACCTGGAGGATGGCTTACTGAGACCTACCAACCTAATCCTCCTCCAGATCGTAGAAGGCAAAGCTCCTTTAGGACTTTCCCCAAAGTCACACTGCAGCTGGCATGCTCCTAAGCTCTGCATCCAAAAACAAGGCTGGTACATGGCAACACTTCCATGACCTCCTATTCTGTGACACAACATGACCAATACGTTTAATTATTGGGGCACTTTTCCTTTAACTAGTCTGACATGGGAAGTAGGCTTGGAAGTGGATTCATGGAGAATGATTGTATCATCCTCTATTTCATATATTTTCCCAGTGCCGAGACAACTTTGTGCTCAGTGCTGTACAAATGCAGAACAAAGTGATGGTCCCTGACCCAAGCAGTGGGTCTAGAGCCCCAAACAGTAGCTGGTCACAGGTGGATGGGGGACTACAGGGAACCAATGGGGCAGCAATGGTCAGAAGGATAAGCCAGAGTCTTGCTACTTGAGCAAAGGAGAGGTTGGAAGGAAAGCAACTGAATGGCTTTGGGGATGTTAGAAGGAGGCTCTTCCAAGCATTAGGGAGACAGAAAATGATAAATGGCCTTACAGAGGAAAGCAAGGGGCATATATCTGATGCAACAGAGAGGGAGAGGTACTGCAGGGATGCCAAGAGAGAAGTGCAGTCCAAGTCAGAGGCTCAGAGACTGATAGTACAGCACTGTTTAAAATGCTTCAGTTTGCCAAAGCCAAAGAAAAAGATGCTGCAGAAGCAGGGTTGCCAGAGAATAAGGGTCTGGGCAAGATATTTTTTTTTCATTATTGGCTAAACAAGGAAGACAGTATATTATAGGTTGTGCAGAAAAGATAGTAAAGTTAGACATAATCTGGGTGTGAGGACCAAGAGTGTAGTCAACATTGCAGCTGACATCCAGGCTACGGTGCTCAGTGACAGGCAGGGCTGCAGTGGGTCTGACTGCATATCGAAATAAAGGCATATACTGGGTTCATTTAGAGGGTGAGTACAAAATGGGAAAAGCAGCAGCAGAGAAAAACTGGTAGGATGCAGGCGGAAACCCCTCTACAAGAGGAGCAAGCAGATTCAGGCCAGGCACCCTTCACATGCCCCCATGGGAAGGGTCTCTCCCATTATACAGCTTCCTTATGGTATGGCAGTTCTATGAATCTATGAATCTATATGTTAGGGTCGGAAGGGACCTCAATAGATCATCGAGTCCGACCCCCTGCATAGGC